CAAAACTCGCACGATTTTGAAGATATACGTGCTAATGGATACGGATTTGAAATGTTAATAAAGTTGTACAATGGTATTGAACATTTATACAGTATAGGCTTGTATAGGCAAAGATCAGGGTTTTTGAAAAAGTGGCAAAAAATGATCCCCATGTTATTTTTATGGGAAAAACGCCCCAAGTGACTTATAACCATCATATTTTGCCTCTACTGCAGGCATTTGAAAAATCCAAAAAAAAGTCGTTGAGAAGAAACCAGCTGTTGTATTTGATGACATAAAAGTCGATTCACACACGACACGTCACAGTTCAATCCCATCAGTCACGACACAGTGTATACAACAACTGACTGTGACTGTGATTTGAATTTGTGTGTACTTTGTCCCAAACTTTTTACACAATTTTCACACATTTCACACAAATATCATGAAACAGTACAAGAGAGATATAAGAGACAGAGTCTCTTACCGAATTGGACTTCGTTAATCCTTACATCATCATACTTGTAGTAGCTGTGGAGTAGGGACTAATCAAGCCGGCTTTTACATTGAAATGAAATGAAAATCGTTTATTTTTTCAGGCAAAGTTAGTGCCACATGACCATTTCTTACACTTAACCTGACATTCAAAATATAACAAAAATAATGATACATTGGGATAACTTAATCTAATTAAACATAAACATATTTAACAATTCAAATACCTGCTATACATATTTTAGAAAAAAAGAAAAACCATACAAATTTAACAAATAGAAAAACACATTTACACACTCTCGCATACACGCATCAGCAAACAAGCAAAGCAACAATAGCCCTAGGACACGCCAGCCGAGACCATCTTATCAAAATAGAGCTTCTTCAGTGCCACCACAAACTGGGAACGATTTTCCAGCGTCTTACTGTAGGCCATTCCACAGATGACTAGCGGTAACAACAAAATCCCTGCCATAAGCTGTGGTCACATTATGAGGTATACACAATGTGATCGAAGAATAACGAGACATTCGTGAACTACCCTGAGACACAAAATCGGATTTGAAATATTTTGGGGAGCCTGTTTTCAAAATTGAACAAAACAATGACAAAGTTTTAATGAATTCTTGATCATTTAATTTCAGGATGTGTGCCTCAAGGTAGTACGGCGTGATAGGCTCCATTCGTCGCAGACCATAGACAAATCTCAAACAATAATTATGTGACCGCTGGAGCATACCCGCCTGAGTCACAAACAAACGTTGCTAAAAAACAACATTAAAAGTGGGTTTTAAAAAGCGCAGACGATACCCGACTGACGCTTTCTTTGATGAATTGTCCATACTCACTATTCGACAGTTGTTCATTAAAAGCTTATTAATAAACTTGTTTAATAATCACACTAATATATTTCAAGGAATAACTCACTCTCACAGTACCCATTATTCTTCACGAGTAGGTATCTCATCACTTCAGATAAACTATACTTTCTCTAAAACGAATTCTTTATGTATTTATAATATACTCTATCAAAATATCTGTAAACATTTTACCAATGATAATATTTTCGAATAACCTTCAATTAATGTGTTCAAACTAAGAATCAAACAATTTCTTTTTAGGCTTGGTATAGATGAGGCCGACGTTATCATCACAGCTGGTTACCGGCGCATTTGACCCGACCCTTGCCCCCTCCATCCTGAGTCATAATAAACCCTTAGTATAGGTCTAGCTCCCCACCTGATCATAACTGTATTCATTCTAGTTTATTATTCTATTTCAATGCATTTGTAAATCTCCTTCTCTAAACTAATAACTTTTTAAGCAACAGTCATTCCATTTATTTATATTTTTTGTATAATAATTCCATTATGATTTGGTTAACTTACCGATAATTATTAAATAGCAACCCAGCAGACGCACAGACAGCACCTGCCCTTGTCTGATGTATTTCATAAAATCATATAATTAATTAATACAGAAATGATCTTTTTTTATTCTTAGTCTTCGTTTATATTTTGTAATTGTGAGTATATTTTTTATTAAAAAGTATGTTTCTTTCTGTATGCATTATGTGGAAATTAACGTATATTTAATTCATTCATTTATTCATACTTGGGTAGTGTGAGAAATACAAGTCTAAGTTTAACGAACTAAGACACTTTGCGACCAGCCTGAGAGATAAGCTTGCTGACAACAACGCCGTTATCACGATGGCCGATAAGGGGATCCCTGTCGTCAACCTCGACAAATCTGAATACCACGAAAAAAAGTGTAGTTTGCTAGCAGACAATGGTATTGTTAAAATTAATAATGAACTATCCACGAAATATTCTAAGTAAATATTTAAAATTGTTCACTCCAGCAATTACCTACTTTCTATATCAGACATGAAATTAAATTAATCATAAATAAATCAACCCCCCACCCCCTATTTTGAGAGTAATGCTGAAAATACATGCGTCGTTTTCTCGGTACATTTCATTTCTACCGCAGGCCCAACACCCAAATCAGACCATTGTTGAATTTCATCCCTTCACCGGCCTATAACATAGCAATGAAGCTTGATAGAATCATCAGATAGAATGTTGCTTTGAAAATAACAATAGTGTGAAAAATACAGTCGATTTAGTAAACAAACAATCTCACATACAACTGAAAGATACCTACATTTTAACTTTATTTGACATTGTGAACCTTTACACTAATGTCCCAATAGATCAAACGATAACAATATTAAGAAATAACTTAGACAAGAATGCATCTATCAGTAAAGAAACAATTAACAAACTTATATCACTGTCAAAGACAGATCCAAAACAAAACTATTTCAAATTTGAAGACACAATTTACATTCTGTCTGATGATTATTTCAAGCTTCTTTGCAATCTTGGTGATGGGATGACATTAACCAATGGTCTGATTTGGGTGTTGGGCTTATGTATTGTCTCAATCCTCTGGAAATGGGGGGTGGGGGGTTGATTTATTTATAATTAATTTAATGTCTGATGAGAGTAGGTAATTTCTGGAGTTAACAATTTTAAATATTTCCTTAGAATATTTCGTGAATAGTTCATTACTAATTTGAACAATACCATTGTCTCTTAGCAAACTATAATTAATTTTTTCATTGTATTGAGATTTGTCGAGGATGACGACAGCGTTCCCCTTATCAGCCTTCGTGATAAGGGCGTTGTTGTCAGCAAGCTTATCTCTCAGGCTGGTCGCAAAGTGTCTTAGTTCATTAAACTTATACTTGTATTTTTCTGTGGGCCAGAATTTTTTTATCGAACTATTTACTTTATTTACAAGCATAAACCTAGTGATGTCTTTAGCTTCTTTATTTTTAATTGGTTTAACTGCAGGTTCGGTTTGTAAAAGACCAGTATTGAAGTTATTTTGTTGATCAAATGAAAATTTAAGCACTTACCAAGCATATATATTTCTTGTTAAGAAAATGCAACTTTAGTTTTGTTTACCCCTCTTGGATGGAAAACGTGGCTGCATTTGTGGACTTCATGTCTACGTTGAGATTTAATCAGATAGTCTAATTTCATATTTTGTGATCTCATTTTCCCCTCTATCATTTTAGCTATCCTAGCAACCTAGGTAACATAAGTTTTTCTGACTTACAATCTAGTGGATTGCACTAACTTAATTCTTTGTAAATTGAATAACCTTTTACTAGAATGATTTTTTTTAGTGAGTCTAGCCGCTAGAAAACTATACCAGCGAAAACAAAATACTGTACAGCATTTAATAATTATGAAACGCAGTGAGAAAGGTTAACTGTCTCACATAATCTAATAGGAATTTAATCATTAAAAAATACAAATTTAGTTCTGTACTATTTAATGATAAACGTTTAATTTTTATTAAATTGCACTTAGAAAAATATGAAGTTTTTCTGAATTGAAAATGGGCTTATTACGTAGGACAAAAACAAACTGTTTTTAAGTGGTTTATTCAGTGAGTCGTGACTAATTGGATTTACTCGCACAGACGACCCAGCCATTGTCTCTTTTTTAATCCGTATAAGTACTGTAGGTGATAAGTTCCCCGCACGGGTAGGACCGTTGAGCGCAAGGTACCTCTGCGCTCTTTGGTCCTACCCCTAGGAATTTTATTTATGACCTCCCATTAGAGCAGGGATTCTGCGCTTCTCGGTCCGTTAATCCTGCCCTCCCTGCGTAAAGTGATTCGCGGTACCGGGTTTTGTAATGTCTATGTGCTATGTTACCATTTTTACCACTACGAACTCCTCTGGAATTAAATTTTGATGTATTTTGAATCCTGATGAAGTTCCTATCGCAATGAAACTGCAATAGCCCACATAGGCAGCAAAGGATCACTTAGACAGTATGAGGTATTTAAACCATTATTTATTACTTACCTAAACGATAACGATACTACAATTTATTTTAATACATTTTCGAAAACACATTTTATGACTTCAGAATTATTTTGTTTATTTTATAGTCAATTAAGTTAGTTAAGTTGTAATATTAGACTCATAAGTCGTAAAATATAAAGAGTGTATTCAACTTTAAAAACTGGCTACATCCATTACATACATACATCGCGTTAATTGTACAAGCTTTATTTTTAAAGTTTGGATAATTGATGGTTCGTTTGAATTTTTTTGTGGGCATGTAAAATCACCAGAAAAGAACCTTAACAAATAGTATATTTCGTAAATAGGGCCGAAAATTAGGGTTTGGCAGCTAGTTTATAAGTTCGAGACGAAGTCGGCAAAACATTTTGGTTCCGTGGTACACGAACACAATATTTCACCACACCATACCCTATAACCACTATTCAAAACAATAATAATGCACACTGATATTTAACACAACTACAACTTATTTGTTGTGTAAAGAAATAAGAACCTGCAGAAATAAAAATAAAAATTAGTTGCTAGGCAGCGGTGGCAATAAAACAGTTCTATTACAATCCTTTGGATACTAATTGTGTAATTAATATTTTCCTTATTAAAAAACCTATACAGTATATGCAATATGCCTTACCTTAAAAAGTTCCCATTGTACCTCATCCTCCTCGGAGTAACCGATGTGTTGGGAGTTACTTAAAGCAACAAGGGCGAACAACAGTAACAGCTTCATCTTGACTGGAAAGCAACATTGAAATAATCAACAATAATGTTATTTACAGTTGTTGCCAGTTTTTTTAATAAAAGTAAACGTAGTTGAAGTAAGCCACTGACGGATTGATATAATGTAAATTAGTGATTTCTGCCTAATATGTAAAATGTTTAACCAAATCATGCTGATATGGCGACTTACTGTGGGCTACAGCACCTTTTAAGTCACGTGAACTACCTTAGTAAAACAAAAAAAGATAGAAAATATAATTTTTGATACAATCGTAACCTGTGGCTGGTTCAAAGTTAAAGTTTCCAAATAATAGCAACGTAAAGGTTGTCTTTGATATAAAATTAAATAAAACTAAAATTATTATTGAAAATACTTGTTTATTTATGTGAACTCAGGACCTCATGGCTCTTTCTTACAGTTAATCTCTAAAAAACTAGCAATCTATATATTAATTACGTAAGCATATTCTTTGCGTCCAAATTGTGGGCGACTAGGAAAGCGTAAAACGACGGGAGAGGCCTCAAATTAAATGTATCGATTCCGTGACGGCAGGAAAAATAAAGAAATTCCCATAATTGTAACACAAAACTAGATATAACATAAAATTGTCTCCATAAGAATAGCTTTAGAAGCCGTTTAATGCATATATATGTATACTTATACAGCTTGTCGTGATTTTTCATTAAGCAAATATATAATATGCCCCGTTTAACTTCTTAATTTTCAAGATGAGCTCGTTCGCATGGCTCAATCACGTCCTGGTTGAAATTGAAATTTAGGTTGGAGCTCATTCGCTGCGCTCACTTGCCTTCAGGTTAGCTCGTTCGCTACGCTAACTCGCCTCCAGGTTATAGTTCGTTCACTACGCTCACTCACCTTTTGGTTGCAAATTAGCTGTTGTCATAAATAAAAAAAATAATAGTGCTGCACCCTGTTGGTAATCCTTGTATCTTTAATGCTATTGCACATCATAGAACAGAACCAACTTGTTTAATTGAAACAGCTGTTAAGATTCATTAATTCCATTTAAATATGAGTACTCATAAGGTTAACATGGGAAACTCCAGAGCCACTGGGGCGGAGCCCGAGAGTCCGATCAGAATAAAAACAACTTAGTTTTCCTAATTAATGCCTAAAGAATCAGTGTACCAAATTTCAGCCTCCTAGGTAAATGGGAAGTGGGAGAATTAGTGATGAGTGAGTGAGTCAGTCAGTCAGTGAGGGCTTTGCCTTTTATATATCTATCTATATATTAATAGGCAAGCATGTTTCTTTAAAACCTTTTTTCTCAGCTCGTGTGCATCGCAGGGAAAATCTACGCATACCGTTAGAAAGATATTTTTCTGTAGGTGTGCAGAAACCCTTTAAAAATTAAAATAGGCTCAGAAATAAGCACAAAAAAATGAATTTGAAATTTGAATAAAATTAACGTCGGCTTTATGGGTTGTCATGCTGGTAACGAAATAACAACGAAATATAAACAGAAAATCAAAACAAATAGAAGAAATGCCAATCACATGTTTTATTTACAGTGTGGGGTGAAAATAGAGAAGTCTGTACATTATATATTTTTGGTCGAGTTTCGACCACTGGACGACCTCTAGTATAGATTAAACCGCGACAGGGGTTTATTTTTTTATTTCACGATTCTGAATCAACCACTTGACGGATTTTCATGATTTCTGTGTTGAAAGAAAGATAATTTTGAGAACTAGGGAATGTCAAAGCCATAATTTTAATTTAGGGTTTCAGTTTTTTGATGATTAAGTTTTAAATTTTAAAAATTCTAGCAGCCGATGCTAACATTTTACTCTAGCGTTTTGTATAATTCCATTTGCTTAACGTAACATCTGTAAACATTCAGCGTTTTCGACACAAATTCAGCATTTGGATGAAAATGAAATGACATAACAAAAAAAGGTACGTAGGGTTGACTTATTACTATGTGTAATACCATAAGCATTGATACGTTCATTTATTCGGTAAGAGGATGAGACATCATTTTAATATACATAGTAATATACTAGATGTTCTATTTTTTTTTTTTTTTTTTTTTTTTTTTTTTTTGGACAGTCTATAAAATGTTTATAGTTTGTTTTAGTGAAATATAATTTGTTATAACTAGCAGCTGGTTGAATACAAAAATATGCTAAGAACCATGACGTTAGTTTATTTATTTTGTGATTTTGTCATTGATTATAGGAATTAAGTCAGATTCTATAATAATTGCTGTATACGAATTGAAGCTCACGAGTCTTTAAAAGAAAGCTTATGAAAATTATTTTACTACTAAAATTTTTTAGGAAAGGTTGGGAAAGTAAGAACAATCACAAGTTTTAATTAATCTTGGCAGATTTTTCTTTACAATACATTTTGAACTGCTTAAACTAAGCTTGAATTAGGGATATACAAATTGATATAACTATAACATCCCTAGTTGCACAAAAATGTTTTGAAAATATGTTTAAAATATTTTGGAATATTCCGAACAACTTTTTTGTTAAAATATTTTAGAAATAATTAGAAAATATTTTAAAGCCGTATTATAAATATTAAAAAAAAATATTTTTGGATAATGTTTTAAAACATTTTAAAAAATAGATTGAAAAAATATTTTTACAAAAAAAATTAAATAATATTAAATGAAATATTTTTACTCAAACATTTTAAAAGCCTTTATAAACTATTACCGGAGAAATATATAAAAAAAGTTAAAAATATATAGTAAATATTACAAAATCTATATATTTTTAATATTATATTTTTTACACCTTTTAAAATCCAACAACTGTTGATTTGGGACTCATGGGAGGAATTTTATTTAAGAATTCGGGTCCGATATAATGTTTCTTTTTATACACTTTAAATGGACTGCTCGATTCCCGTACGTAGGACGGGCACAGAGCTCATCTACGCCAGCAGTTTTCTTTTCACAGTCATAACTCGATAACGGCTTTGACGGATTTTGACGTTTGAGGTTTCAAATAAAGGTATTTTCACGTAGATGTGCAGATAAGTCTCAGCAAATGAAGAAAGGGCATCACTTAGGTACAGCTAAGGGCTAAGGATTGGGAACGACGGCGCTATCTGTTGACATTAGTTCGAACTTAATTCCATTTGTTTACAACTAAACATATGGGCGTAGTTTTAAATAGTTTTTAAAGATAACCACAGACTGCAGGACTTATTACTTCCAGAGAAAACCCAGAATATATATTTTTATTTAAACATCTGTTAAATAAGTCTGGTTCATAAAATAGTTCCCTAGCAAGACTTGATAGCAAATTGTTCGTAATATTTGAATTAATTTACCTTACAACGTATTTTACTAAATTATCTTGTAGTTTTGGTTACAGTTCAGTGTGATGAAGTGAATGTTTGAAGTGATTATTCATGTATTCACTGTATTTTAAAATTCCGTTGTAGTGTTTTCTGTTGTTTGGTTAACTTCTTTTTTATATTAATTTGAAATTAAGCCACCAGTAAGCCGAAGAACTGTGAGTGGCTCGAGGGAACGCAGACGTGACCACTTGCATCAACCTGCCAATAGAACATTTGAAGAATACAGAGCGGACATCATGGATACATCTCTTTAGACAAATTAACTTTAAATGTTTACATTGTGGTGGCTTAAATTTTAAGTGAAGAAAATACTGGCCGACACAGTTCAATTTGTACTCTTTCTTAATATAAAATGAAAGAACCGTTTACCTCATCTGCGGAATTCACCATACTTCCAGGAACTTATTGGAAACTCCCAATATGAAAACAGGGCTGCAAGGTCCGAGGAGTATGTATTAATAAACAAAATTTGCTAACCCTCTCATGTAGGAGTTATCTCTATATTAAAGGATAAATTGAAATTCATGATAAAGGTCATTTTATAAATAATGCATTTGCATCATTATTTGACAAAATTAGATACGAAGTGGCAGGCAAAGAAATGGTTATTGTAAAAAACCCAGGAATTTCTAGTCTTATGAATATATTAAGCACTTACAATAAAACTACTAAATTATCAAATGTAGCATTTAATTCTGACACGAATTTAAAAGAGTTCCATAAAGGTAGCAAAGTTTAGTACTTGTGTCCGATTAGAGCTGTTAATGGGTGTGTTTGAGGATTTTAATAAGGGTTTAGTAAATGTTAAAAAATGATTGTTGTTGAAAACATCCAAAAATGATTTGAATTGTTTATTAACTACCACTAGTTCTCCAACCGGTGGGACTGCCGATACGATTCCCAATATTACATTTAATTGATTTCCAAATGGTGATACCACATGTGATACAATCAGATGGGGAGAAGTTTATTACAAATTATGTTAATGCAAAATACAAATTTGCAACTTGCAATCATAAGTTTAGAACTGCACGAAATTCCATCATATCCCAATACCACAAGACATACATGGGCAAATAAAGATGTAGTGAGCTGACAGATTTATCAGCTGACAGATGTTTTAAATAGTTTATTGAATTTTGGTTGCTAGGAAAAAGAAAAATAAACAAAGAGACATTCTTTTAGGCTTTTCAACCAAAGTGGTTCATTTTTATTTGCTCTAAACAATTAATTGTTAATTACTTGTAAAAGTGTGATAAATTAAACAATAATATTTAGTGGAAACCTCTAGTCTTTATTTAAAGTATTTATCCAATTTAAATGAAGTTCTTTTCACTAAAATTGGTGACCCCGATTTGAACACATCAAGAATACATAATGGAAGTCAATGAAGAAGTATTGGCAAGACTAAAACTGATGGAAGAGCAAAACCAAAATCTCAGAAAACAACTTAATGATGTCATTGGAGTTGACTCTGAACATTCAAGACAAAATCATGATTCAGAAGAAGATCTTTTGGTTAATCCAATGAATCAGAAAACTCAAGAACGAAACAATTCAGTAAATCCAAGACCGTCTGAAAACATAACTTCAATTCAATCTCCATAATTAAAATTTCCCCATTTTTGGCGTGAGAAACCAGCACTTTGGTTCATACAGATTGAGGCGATTT